CAACACCAGTTTGCCAAGCCCAAGCTGAGGTAGCCACCTCTTATCTGAAGAAGTGATGACAGCCAGGTTCCTCCACTCTGCCTGGGTTCTGTGTTTTAGTAAAATACCCAAAGGAACAACTGGCACATGGAGAAGGAAAATTGAAGTCAGCACTGTAATTGGAACCACTGTGTTCCCCGGAGTGATTAAAAGTTTGGAAATGGAATCATTGAAAGTCAGAAAACTTTTTATATTTCTGAATCAATGTCCCCAAGATCCAATTATTGCCGAAAGCACTCCAAGAAGACTTCTTTTTCTCCTTCCTTTGTTCCTGATGGAACTTCCCACTCTTAAGCCACTGAAGGACATGCAGGGAAGCATTTCCATGTCCTGATTGAATTTCTGCAAACTTCAAAATGCTTATCATTCTTGAAAAGAGCAGCTGGGAAGATAAGGATTATTTATAAACATGCTATGCTTGTGACACATGGAACCCGCAGCTGTGAGCACAGTGCTTCTAAACCAAGTGCTCAAGGTCATGACTTGGGGAGACTTTCACCTGGAGCTCTAGAGCTGTGGGGAGACTTCAAGGAGGAGGCAGTTTCTGGCCAGATCTTGAACATGGAGGATAATTTACAAATAAAGGGATAGGCAAGGGATGGAGGGAAGCAGAAAACCATGTTGGGGACAGAAGTTGGCACAGGTCCTTGGACTTGAGTATTTCTTCCACAGCCTTCACAAGTTGTTCTTTAAAAAACACACACACACACACACACAAACATAGAATAGGAGGTATCGAACACAGTCTAGGGAGGCCATTCTATTTTGGTAGAATCTGAAATGTGGAGGCAGCTTTTAAGATGGCCCCAGTGATTCTTGCCTACTGGAATTTATGGCTTTGTGTAATTTCCTCCCCGTTAGTGACTTGCTTTTAACCGGAAGACTGCACTCTTTTTCTGGATTTGATGAAGCAAATAGCCAGATTGGAGAGACCCATTTGGCAAGGAACTGAGAGAAATCTCTGGGCAACAGACAATGTAGAACTGAGGTCCTCAGACCAACAACCCTCAAGGCACCAAATTTCACCAATATCCATGTAAATAAGCTTGGAAATAAACCTTCCCATCAAACCTACAGATGAGATTCCAGCCCTAGCCAACAGTTTGATAGCAGTCCTGGGAAAGATCCTGAAGCAGAGAACTTAGATAATATGTGCCCAGGTCTCCATAATCTGTATTAGATCTATATAAACCATAATCCATATGATGTTATAATTTCAACTTTAAATGCTCATATAAATGTTGAAGAAATTAAAAGAAAAATAGAATTTTCTATGTACCCACATATTTATAATCTCCAGTGCTCTTCTTTCCTTCTTAAAAAACTGTGTTCCATTTGATACCATAAGTTTTCAACATGAAAAACTTCCTTTAGATTTCTTGTAATACGGATCTGCTGGAAATAAATACTCTTAGTTTTCATTTATCTAAAAGAACCATTATTTTGTATTATTCTTTTTTTGTAATTTGTTATTATTTGTTTCTTTTTTAAAAATTAAATCTTTATTGTTCAGATTATTACAGATGTTCCTCTTTTTCCCCCCATAACTCCGCTCCACCCGGTCCCCACCCCACCCTCTGCCCTTACCCCCCACCATTGTCCTTATCCATAGGTGTACAATTTTTTGTCCAGTCTCTTCCCACACCCCCCACACTCCTTCCCCCCCGAGAATTGTCAGTCCACTCCCTTTCTATGCCCCTGATTCTATTATATTTACCAGTTTATTCTGTTCATCAGCTTTTTTATTCACTTGATTTTTAGATTCACTTGTTGATAGATATGCATTTGTTGTTCATAAAAAAATTATGAACCTTTACCTTTTTCTTCTTCTTCTTCTTCTTAAAGGATACCTTTCAGCATTTCATATAATACTGGTTTGGTGGTGATGAACTCCTTTAGCTTTTTCTTATCTGTGAAGCTCTTTATCTGACCTCCAATTCTGAATGATAGGTTTGCTGGGTAAAGTAATCTTGGTTGTAGGTCCTTGCTATTCATCACTTTGAATATTTCTTGCCACTCCTTTCTGACCTGCAAACTTTCTGCTGAGAAATCAGCTGCCAGTCATATGGGCACTCCCTTGTAAATAACTAACTGCTTTTCCCATGCTGTTTTTAAGATTCTTTTTAACCCCTGGCATTTTAATTATGATGTGTCTTGGTGTGGTCCTCTTTGGATTCCTCTTGGTTGGGACTCTCTGAGCTTCCTGGACTTATCTATTTCTGTCATTATTTCTTCAAATAGGTTTTCAACATATGCTCTCTCTTCTGCTTCTGGCACCCCCACAGCGTGGATGTTGGTATG